ACATTATGAATAGTTGATTTTTTTTAATGGTGTCAAAGTCAATTATTAATTTTGATCACAATACTACATCACCTTTTCAGTTTTTCCTACAAATTTTCTATTTTCTTCGTGAAGACTTTATTGTCAAAAGATTATCTACTCAAACTAATAATGGAAAAAATAATCAAGGACTAACTAAACAAGAAATCATTAGAAACTACACTTAGTTTCATAAAAAGAAAATAAAAAGGGTCAAGAAACATTAAAAAGTTTATAAATAATTTCGCAAATAAATCAGACCGAATGATTGTGACATTATCGCTTAACATTGTATTAACATAACATTTTGTAATGATTATAGATAGAAACGGCTGGCCGGAATACTTGTACCCAATCTTTATTTGTTCTTTTAATACTTTAAATATTTAAATAATTTTTTTATAAAAAATAACAATTATAAAAAACATATACTAAAAAATACTGAGAGTAGGAAGGAAACTTTTTTTTTGAGAAATGGAATTTAACATTTAATTTTTTTTACATTCATTATACTATTTTATTTATTTATTTTACGATTATTTTATTCATAAATAAGTGTCAAATGGGTTTTTTTTTAAATCTTAAAAAATTGTACTTTAAAATAACAGAAATTCACACATAAATTTTTTATATTATTTAATATTAACTTTTTTACTTTTTACTTTTTCTTTTTTCAAAAATATAAAAATTTAATTTTTATGACTATTTTATTTTTATAATATTTATTAATAAACATAAATGTATATGCGGTTAAAAGAAATAAGAAAGTCAGGTTATTATGGAAGTTCGGCTTTAGTTTTAATTTTAGAATAAGTAATGATATTATGATAATTTTTACATTTATTTGACACGAGTTACAAAGATAAAATAGTTAAAGAAATATAAATTTTTGTATTGTTTCAAAAAAAAGAATAAAAAATGACTAAAAATAATGTCAAATAAATGTAAAATATTTAGTTGCGTGAAATAATCTTTATTCTTTACAAGTCTTTTATGAATGGAAAAAAATAAACAAAATTAATTTCATATTAGATTAAAGAAAGTCAAATACAAGATTTTGAAAGCCACACAAAAGTCATTTTGGTTGAACAATTTCACCTAAGGTTCAATTATCAACCAGAAGTCTCTGTAGAACGAAATCACGGTTAATTTAAAAAAAAACAAAAAAAAGTGTCCAGTGTCCAGTAAAATTGGATAAAATATGCACTATACCAAAGATTAACTTTTCCGATGAAGATAGTTTACTACCAGTAAAATGATGCCAATTTTTTTTTTTGATATTATTCCTTGAGTCTGCGAGATCCCAGCACCAGCGTTTCTCTTTTTCCTACATGTCGCACTCACCAATCCCAGCTTGAATTTTCTGCAGTGCTTCCACAACTTCATCCATGGAAGGTCTTAATTGCCTGTCTCCTTGTACACACAGGAAGGCCAATTCCGCCACTGAACTCACCATCCTTCTCACCTCTTCATTTGACTCAAAGCCAAGCGATTGGCACACCAACTCATTGAGTTTCCCATTTTGAATCTTCTTTATGGCAAGACTCACCAAGTTTATCTCATCACTTTCCCTGCCGGCATCGACCGCAGGCAACGACGATATCAGCTCAGCAACCACAACCCCAAAGCTAAATACATCACTCTTGTCCGTCAGCTGGTAGTGCTGGAAATACTCAGGGTCAAGGTACCCCGGAGTCCCCTGCGGACCGGTTGACACGTGGCTTGCATCGGTCGGAAGCAACCTCGAAAGTCCAAAATCGGCCACCTTAACCAAAAAATTTGTGTCAAGTAGAATGTTGCTGCTTTTCACGTCACGGTGAATGATGTCGGAAGCGTGGAGATAAGCCAAGGCAGTGGCGGTCTCCACCGCAATTTGCATCCGAATTGGCCACGTCAGCAGCTTGTCCCTTCTGTTGAGATGGTAAGCAAGAGTGCCGTTTGGGACGTATTCGTACACAAGCAGTAACTCACGGCTGTGACGCGAAGTGCAACCGTAGAGGGAGACGAGGTTCCTGTGTCGCAAGTGAGTGAGAATCTCAATTTCGTTCATAAATTGTTGCACTCTCCTGTAGTTGTGCTCGAACAACAATTTCACTGCAACTTCCCGTCCATCTTCGAGCTTACCTGCATTTTTATTTTTTGGTTTTAATTTAACAAGTTAATCAAATTTCATACATTAACTATTTTATATGATACCCACCATAGTAAACGCTTCCAAATCCTCCCTCCCCTAGCTTTCTGTTGCGGTCAAAATTGTTTGTTGCTTCTTGAAGCTCCTTATAAGAGAAGACGGGTACTCCAAAGAAGATCCTATCTGTCATTATGTCGAGATTATCGTGAGGATCGGCTCCATTTCTTGATCGGAACAGAGCCAGTGCACCACCATGTTTACAGCGCCGTAATGTGAGGATCAACACCAATGTTATTACATTGCACAATCCAGCACCTATACCTGCCATTGTTGCATACATTTCCAATTATTAAGCTTACATGCATAAGAGTATCATAGAAGGATATGTCATCTCAATGAAAAAAATTGTTCAGCAAATTATTTTGGAAGCCAATTCCTTTAAATACAGTAAATTGTTTTTTAGCAAAGAAATTGGAGAACAAAGAGGGTTAAATATTATAAAAAGAAAAACAATGACACTTTATGCAATGCATGCCACTCTGGGGTATTAGACCATGTTTATTACCTATTATTAATCCTAGCTTCCAAGCTGGACTTTTATCCTCCCTGCATAATAGGAAAGATCGATCACATACTTAAAGATATATGAATTTGCTAAATATTAGAAATACCTTGGGGCGCAATGAACTTTTCGTTGGTTGTCGAGGTGACAAAGGCTTATGGCACCCAAACACTGCATGCACTCATCTGACGGATGGAACTGCAAGGGAATGTCAGCAGTTAAGAATGCAAAGGGATTTGCAGAGACTGCATAGCCATTGACGGGAAGCTGAACCATCGAACAGGAGGAAGCTAGAGAGTTGTGAGACACTTCATCAGAGTGTGGAGGCCCCATGAAGATGTCATAGTCACAGGTTGTATTTTTGAGGAATGTTCTGGGGGTCTTAACTTGGCGAGTGCGGTTACACTTGAAAATGGTTATGTTGTTGTTGATAGTGAAGTAACCTAAGGGAGAGCTAGGAGGGAGTGGAATATTGTGGTTGAATGTCTCACAACTATCGGATTGCAGGAGATGATTGAGATGATCATCAACGAAGTAGAGTATAGTAATACTCAATTGCATCTCAAAATTTCTAACCCTAATCCACCTTGATCCGATCTTTAACGTTACCCCTTGCCCTGAGTTTGGGTTGTGATCATCACAACCATGGACTGGCCATATGCCACAATCTTGGCGTTGTAGCGTGGTGAAAGGATAACCGAATTTCCCATGGTTTCCACAATCAAACCAGAATGGGCAATCATCCTTGTGCCCATTTCCATTCCCAACCCACACAAGGAAAACCATAATGAACATGTAAACAGGAAACATCCTCAGATGATGGTAAAGAAATGGTTGTGATTGAACCCAGAAATGATAAACTCAATAATTTATAACCCATTCCTCGCTGCAAGTGTGTCACACGATTGACAAGTTGTTTCATATCTGCCGTTGACTCGAAAAACGAGTAAAGAAGCAGGGCCTGGTCCCCAACTTCCAAAGCTGAAACACAACACATGTCCCTTTTGAATCTTTGAGTAAACAGTTTGTTTGGCGGTCTCCTTAAAACTAAGTTCATTTAACACTCTCTTTTAATAATATAATAATATATATTATAAATTTAATTTAAAATTTAATTAAAATATTATTATTTTTTAATGTCCGATAAATATAGTTTTATCTTAAATAAATTTAGTTGTCTTTTGCTGTGTTAAAATATCTTTACCCCGTCATCAAAAGATCGTTACTCTGTTGATCCTGATATTTGACACTGGATTTTGATTATACTCTCGATTAATATTATTATTTTAATTTAAAATTTTAATTTCTTTATTAATTATAATATATTATTAATAAAAGAAAGAGTAAAAGAGAAAAGTATCCGAACACCATATTTCTTTTAGTTTACACGTACCCAACACTAGCAAAATAACATCTTTATTTTAAAAATAAAATAAGTCAGAATAAAAATATTAGCTTTTATAAATTTTTGAAAAAATATTATTTTCCTTTTCGACAACATTATTCTAGATGACAATAACTCAGGTTGAACACCAAGTCTATCTATAACTTGATTCAACAAAAAAATTAACTCATTATCCATATCGATATTTATTTAAAAATATTCGCGAATATTTTAAAATCGTGAATATATACAAATATTTAAAAAATATATTTTTTATAAATTATTAAAACAAAATTAAAAAAAAATATAAAATATAATATAAATTAAATGAAATATAAATTAAAATTTAGTATTAATTAAATTTAACTTTACAAAATATAAATTAATGTTAATTTTTATTAAATTTAACTTAATAATATATAAATTAAAATTTTATTTTAATTTTTTACATATAATATATATTAGTATAATACTGATGTTCAATCTTTTTATAAATGGGTATTAAAATATTTGCTGCTCTAGTCTGTTAGTTTTTCTTTTTTGCCGTTGTAAACTGGCACTGCTTGCATATACTCCATAACCAGTTGAGCCTGCGTAATGGGACTAGATTTACAATTGTGACCATAATTTGAAACCAGTAACCACAAACATGATTCCCATAACTCTCTAGTATAAGATGTTGAGAGTTAGTATTAGTAGTCCCTTCTGTTTATTTAATTTTGTTGATTCAGATATATAATACACCCAATTTTAGAAAATAATCAGTCTCTATGGCCGCTTCATTTCGGGTAGATATGGGAAACAGCTCTATTCCAAATGATTCAGACAGTAATAGTTCACGGCTGTGACGAGAAGTGCAGAGACAGTAGAAGCTATTAAATTACAAACAAGTTTTATATTATTAAGTTAATTAAAAAATTTAACTGATGATATATAGTTAGTTATAAAAGTTCTATATTTAGTGAGAAAGGAAGAAAGTTACAAAGTGCAAGATTTATTGACCACTAACATTAGGACTGGTAGAGCGACAGTTCCATTTATCTGTCACGGCCCTTGGCGAAGGTGGCAACTTCATATTCATCAACAATTTCACTTCATCGTGATCTACTGAAGATGGTGATGATGGCTCTTCATCCTGATCATGCCCTGCTTCATCCTTTTCACTTTCTATTCTTTTCAGCACCTCCAACACTTCATCCATGGATGGTCTCAAGTCTTTGTCCTGTTGCAAGCATTGAAAAGCCAATTCTGCTACTGCAATGATTTGTCTTTTAACATCATCATTTGACTCAAAACCAAGGGAAGGATCCACCAGCTCAGCAATTGCATTTTTATGAATATTCCTTACTGCTAGATCTGCCAAGTTTATTTCATCCTTATGTCGGTTCAGATCAATTGCTGGCATAGATGATATCAGCTCAATAAGCACAACCCCAAAACTATACACATCACTCTTGTTGGTAAGTTGGTAGCAGCGGTGATATTCAGGATCAACATAGCCAGGGGTGCCTTGTGGAGCAGTGGAAACATGGGTGACATCAACAGGGAACAGTCTCGACAATCCAAAATCTGCAACTTTAACACAGAAAGTGTCGTCAAGCAGAATGTTGCTAGTTTTGACATCGCGGTGAATGATGTCAGAGGCATGGAGATAGGCCAATGCAGTAGCAGTCTCAATGGCCACTTTCATTCGGATAAGCCACGGCAAAGAGGCATGAGTCGTTGATTCACGACGATGGAGGTGACTGGCCACAGTTCCATTTGAAATGTATTCATAAACAAGCAGTAGTTCACGGCTGTCATATGAAGTGCAGCCATAGAGAGACACTAAGTTTTTGTTGCGCAAGCGTGTGAGGATCTTGATTTCATTCATGAACTGTTCTACTCTCCTATAGTTGTGCTCATATAGCCGCTTCACAGCAACTTCACGTCCATCCTGGAGTTTTCCTAGTTGTTGAAATAGAGATGAAAGAAAGAGTTATTTGAGAACAGAGAAAGTGAAAGAAAACACATTGAATTACTTTGTACAAAGAAAGGTGTAGTTGTTTGGTACATACCATAGTAAACGATCCCAAAGCCTCCTTCTCCCAGTTCTCTTGAACGATCAAAACTTTTTGTTGCTATTACAAGATCCTTATAAGTGAAGACAGGGACCCCAAAGTAGATACTCGCACTTACTGGGTTTCGATTTGAAAAGAAACCAAACAAACATTTGGGTTTGCGGTTCCATAGTATTAGTAGTACAATGATAACAGTAGCCGACATTCCAATACCTAGAACCCATCAAAGAGGAGAACTCCTATCAGTTTAAGATTATCTTGTAGAACGTGTAAATGTGAAATTCGAAACTGTTTGACTAATTGCTAGTCTATGACTCTGTCCTCGAGCATTGACATGGAAAGTTAAAATGAGAAACGAATAGGAAATCAATGGGGGTGGAAGAAAAAAACCATTCAGACATTGAAAACATGGGGCTCAGATTGGCGTATAAGAAACGAAGAAATGTTACCTACTCCTAACTTCCATGCCAAATTCCGCTGCTCTGCAATAGAAATCAAAGGGCCAATTATTTAAGAGCAAATGATCAAGTTAAATTAAAATTGATCACCTATACCATTTCTTACTAAATTACAGTCATACTTCTCTAGTTCTTTTAAGATGCACATTATATTCTTATTTTTTTAATGGTTCCGGGGCAACTACTTGTTATAATATTTTAACAACAATTAAATAGAATTAGTACAATATATATTGAGGTGTTAATGTAAATATAACACGTTAAAACAGTCATTAGACATTTTATAGGTTTTTTTGAAAAATGTATTGGACATAATCCGAAAATAAGAGAAAAATGTAATTTATTCATCTTTTCGTCGAGGGTTGACTTAAAAAATATGACCAGTTTCATTGCATAAGTGATTAAAAATAAATGAATATTATCGTATAAGAATTTTAAATACAGCATTAGTAAAATTTACCTAAATATTGTTATAAGTATGTAGAGATAATAATGTGGGTCGGACTATTTTTTTTAGTCTATCCCGAATATGGCTGTAAAAGCGGATTAACTCGCATAAGAAATACAAATTAATTTCTCTGTTTTGCATAACATTTGATCCATGGTATTGAGGATTGGTACAAGAAATTATTTATTTTACTATTTTCTTTATCTATTAAAATATTTAAAATACTAGGGTTACATGGTTTCTATGTTAAAATATTTAAAATATCATATTTTAAGGATTTAAGTAAATGCGGATTATACAAACAAAATATGAATTAATCCATTATTGTTCTGCATGGTCTGCGCATAATACAAGACAGATGAGTGGACTAAAATACTTAGTTCATCTCGCATCACGTATCCATCCTTAGGTGTAGTGTTGTTGGCTAAATAAATAAATAATATTAATTATATTTGTATTTATAAAAAAAATAATTATATTGCGATGTTTTTTATTTTTTTAATAATAAATAGTTATTTATAAAAAGAAAAAGTGTATTGAAATGCGTTATTAATCTTTATAAAGATAAGTTTCTGCAAGTTATGATATAAGGTAGAAAACTTTGAATGGGCTAGTTGTGTGTACCCTGTTATGTGTGTACTAAATATAAAACAATTATTGAAGTTGATGTTTTCTGATACTCTTTTATTGAAAATTCATTTGTTGAAACCTTTAGTTGAGGGTTATGGCAATCCCTGAACTTGAATCACCTCCTCTGCATTCTTTAACCAAAAAATAAAATTTGCATACCTGTGGCGCAATAGAATTTTCCTTTAATGTCAAGTAAACATCGTCCTTTTCGATAACCAAGACACCTTTCACATTCTTTCGATAACTGAACTTCAATAGCAGTAGTACTGATTACAAATTGAAAGGGGTCGTCGGTAATACTTCCTTCTACAGGAAGCTGAACGGTTGAGCATGATGCTAAAGAGCGGGGCCACTGGAAACCCGGAGGAGTTAGTATATTTGGATGGCCATAGAAGATGTCGAACTCAGAACAGTTTGAATATTTATGAAAATCCTTGGAAAGGGAGGGTTTCAGGGACTTATTGCATCTGAAGATGGTGATATTGTATTTGTTGACGAAAGAAGCTAAAGGAGAGGTGTGAGGAAGATTAACATTCTTGCTGAACGCTTTGCAACTTCTGTTTCGCAAATTACGTTCTTGTTCATCTTCTGAGATATATATTGTACGAGGTTCTACCCTTAGAACAGAGTACGAGGTTGATGTGGAGGTGCCTAGTTTGATAGTTTTGGGAGCGGAAGGAGGAAGTTGTTGACAGCCATGTATAGCCAATAAGCCGCAGTTTTGTTGCTCGGTGGTTGTGAAAGGAAACCGAATGCGCCCAAGAAATCCACAGTCCGAATATGGTGGACACCTTCCATTCTGAGCTGATACAATCAGAAAAAGCTGTGACAAAAATACTATTAGCGATTTGAAAAAAAGAAGCCAGACCATTAGGAATATCGAATTGTCAATCAAATATGAAATCACGGAAAGGTTTTGGAAAGGAAAACAATAAATGCACGATAGAAAAGAAAACCCCTGCTTTGAAAAGAGAGGAGTCGGACACTTGAGAATTTAGAATAACCAACGACAGTAATATAAACCCACAGTCAAAAAGTGCTGCACCTTGTTTTTCAAACAGTCCACAAAAAAACATTTTTTCGTTTTGAAGGATTTTATACGCTACTTGATTTCGAAAATGACGATTTAATTAATTTTCGTATTGAGTGATCTGAATATTTATGAATGCAGTTTTATTTAATGATAATCACTTGGTATCAGTCAATAACTAAGACAACTAAAACATTTGGTGTATAACTTTTCTTTTTTACTTAAAAGACCAGAATGATCCTTTTGTTTATCGTGGCTTGACGATAATATTGGTGTTTGGATCAATAAACTCATATATTAAGACAGATTTTCACGTAAATATTAATACTGCACTAGTTTTAAATATATTGAATTCATTTTTAAATATAATTAATATGTATGCGATTGATGAAAAATAATTCATTTCTGTTTGAATACTAGGACAGATGTAATGAGATTGTTCTTTTACTACAAATATATTCTATACTTATTTTTAATTATAAAGATAATATGTGAATATAATTTAGGATTATTTCTCTGTATTATTTTAGAGAAATGAAAATTTAAAATAAGTCATTTTTATTATAGCTTCCTCGATAAAAACAAATTGTTCAATAGTTATTATATATATTAGAGAGTGAAATGCCTCGTTTGGTATATATTTATTTATTTTTAAAATTTTGAAGGTTAAAATATATAAAAATTTGAAAAAGAATAAATTTTAATTTCATATTTAAATTTAGATACTACGAACATATTTATTTATTTATAATATCATGTTTTCATTATTACGTTTTTATATTTTTTATTAAAATTAATTAATTGATACCAAAATAATAATAAAACACATACAAACACAAGTAGGGGTATACACCACTAGAGATCGGGTGTGACAAAATCTTTTAGATGAGATAATTAAAATAGGAAAAGTTACCACATATAACTTATATTAAATGTATGAAGATTACTTCGTTAAATTCATAAACTCTATCCTTAATAATTTCAATATAATATCTTCTTACCCTTTTACATATTTTAGAAAATTTATAAATATATTGCTTAATTAGTGGTTCAAATTTATAATCAGTACAAAATTAATTATTGTAAAGCTAAATATTAATGAAAGTGCACATCATTTTAGAGATGTTTCCTTGCTTGATGGAGGAAAACAAAAGACAGAAAGAGAAGACTCTGTCATTGACGTTTTCAAAGTCACCTTTTGGGAGTGAGATAGTCTATTGTACGAGACAAAATGGAACTACTAAGAAAAGTAATGTGCAGAGAAATTAAGTGAACGCTGATTTTGATGTTAATTCTTAGCTAAAAAAGTCCACATTCCATGATGCACACGACGCGGGAAGTTAATTATGGGTTTGATCAAAGTTATAAAATAAAACACAAGAAAATTAAACAAAGGATCACTCCCTAATGATTGTAATTTAAATTTGTTATACTGAATTATTATTAAACAAGAACAAAAAACATATTACGCTTATCTAACATAACAAATTAAACTAAATTAAAATTTTAATCGTAATAAAGTATTTGTGTATAAAATCAACAAAATGTCATTTCATTGTTTAAATTTTAAAAAATATTATAATAAAATAAATAATATTAAAAAAAAGATTTTAACAACAAAAGTTCATAAAAAATTAATTAATTAAATTTTAAATTCTTAATAATTTTAGATATTTTTAATAAATTTTTATTACTTTTTTTTATTTATCTCAATATTTTTAAAATTTTTAATATGATTGATGTTATTATTATATAATGTTATTATCATAGTTTTAATATTATGTTAAAATATCAACTTTAAATTTAATTTAATTTCATAAAATTAGTTTGTAAATAAAATTCACGTTTATATCAAATCGTTTTATTTTTAATTGATAGAAGACTTCCAACAAGGATACACTCTCCTGCAATTTGATGAATAATCTTTCAGAAAGAATGATTTTTTTTCCATCTTGAATCCAGGTGACCATTAAAGCATTTATGTATGACAGAATCTTGTTTTAACTTCTTCAATAGATGTTTATGATATACTCTTCCATATAGACTTTGGTTCTTTTTCCTTGAATTATGTTGATTACGAGATCTCCTCTCTCTCGATTGCTTTCTTTCAATAACTTTTCTCTTTATTTTTGTCAAAATTATATCTATTCTGATATCTTTTGTTTCCTTTCCTTGATCAAAAGAGCAATTGTATACATGTTATCGTTCTATATAATTTTTCTGCATGATGTAATTTTTTACAATACAAGATATAATCAAAGAATTCATCATGAATAATATTATATCAAAACATATATCGATAAATCAAATAATCATATAAGAGCAAATATACAAGTGTAACAGCCCCAAATACACATATTTAAAGTAATTATTTATCATATGCTAACAATTTTTAACCACCAAAGTTCGTGAATTCAACATATTCACTTTTGTTATTCCTCTTGAATATGTAGCACAACATTAGGACAAGGCCAGACAAGAAAACTCCTTCAAATGGTAGTAACATAATTTTAAACATAAATGCATTCAATTGTAAGACGAAATTTGTTAATCACACAAGAGTCATTATAAGTTCCTTATTTACTCGCACAAGCATACAGAGAAAGGAGGCCTTAGAAAGAAAATTATCCATCAAAGTGAACAAGGCGTTCTCACCATGAGTGCCAGTGGTTTATAGTAAATAAATACGAGTACGAATCACTGTGCAACCGTAGAATCAGACAATTTCGTGGTGTAACCAAACTTGTTCATATCAAGAAGAGTCACGCTTTCTTCCAAGAATTATAATTATCTCCATATCAACTATGGGAAACCACAGCACAAACATATATTACTCTTTCTTAAATTTGTTCCAAAAATTTGTTCTAAAAAGCAAATATTACACTGCAGAACGGTTTTATATAAATCTCAAACTTAACTAACTCTAATAAATAGTACTTAAAGAATTCCCTTTATGTTGCTTTTGTTCTTGATATAGAAATTTCCAAAATAAAAAAACTACTCTTTCAGGAAGTTTGTTTATTGTTTAATGTCAAGAAAGAAACCAAATTTTCCTTTACGGATACTGTTAGAAGTGGACTTGAGGCCTAACTCATCCCCACAAAACCGGCTTGTAAGGTGAGGTCTGCACCCACTTATATACTTTAATTTGGCCTTATCTCTAGTCGATGTGGGACTTCCAACAGATACAACCAGCTACGGTAATTGTAAATAAAAAAGTACACTACAAGACTCTCATTTATAATGACTAACTAGTGAATCAAAATTAAGCACTGGCATTAGAGGCAGTAGATTCACTGTGCCATCTATCAGTGACGGCTTTAGGTGAAAGTTGTACCGTCAAGTTTTTCAATAATCCATTCTCATCCCAATCTGGTGAAGGTAGAGAGGGTGGACTTAATTGTTCTTCATCCAGATGCTCAGGCATATCATTTTCAATTCTCACGAGCACCTTCAAAACCTCATCCATTGAAGGTCTTAAATCTTTGTCTCGTTGCAAACACTGAAAGGCCAATTCTGCCACTGAAATCATCATCCTCTTTACCTCACTGTCCGAATCAAAACCAAGAGAAGGATCAACCAGCTCACTAAATGCACTTTGCTGAATCTTCTTCATTGCCAAGTTAGCCAAGTTTATCTCATCCCTATGCCTGCTCATATCAACAGCTGGCTTAGAAGATATCAGTTCAATAAGCACAACCCCAAAACTGTACACATCACTCTTGCTTGTAAGCTGGTAGCATTCGTGATATTCCGGATCAAGGTAACCTGGGGTCCCTAGTGGAGCAGTGGAGACATGTGTGACATCATTCGGGAACAGCCTTGAAAGACCAAAGTCAGCAACCTTAACACTGAAACTTTGGGTAAGGAGAATGTTTTTGGTTTTGACATCACGGTGGATGATGTCAGAAGCATGGAGATAACACAATGCACTTGCGGTCTCTATCGCAATTTTCATTCTTATGTGCCATGGAAGAGTGTGTGGCCTTGCAAAATCACCGTGGAGATGGCAAGCAACAGTGCCATTTGGAACGTGTTCGTACACGAGCAGTAGCTCACGACTGCGATGTGAAGTGCAGCCATAGAGGGACACCAGATTTGTGTGGCGCAAGCGAGTGAGGATGTGAACTTCGTTCATGAACTGTTCAACTCGCCTATAGTTGTGCTCATAGAGACGCTTGATAGCAACTTCTCGTCCATCTAGCAGTTTTCCTGATTGTTAAACACCATATCAATCACTGGTTACAACTCATTCACACAAAATCTGTACAAGTATATAACATGAAGGTGAGAGAACGGTTTACCATAGTAAACGGTTCCAAAGCCTCCACTTCCAAGTTGCCTGGTGTTGTGGAAATTGTATGTAGCTTCTTTAAGCTCCTTGTAAGAGAAGAGAGGGACTCTGTAGTAGAACCTGCAATTTTCGGGGTCTGGATTTGAGCTGGGACCAATTGAATCAGTGTCTGCGTTTCTCGATTGGTGTTGAGGACCTGAAGGAGTGCGTTTTCGTCTAAATACAAGGCATCCAGTTAGCACTATGGCTAATAATATCACGCATAAACCTGCAATGATGAGATACCAAATATTAATCGGGAAAAACTTTGAAGATACAATACTTCCACAAATACGAACTCCCACTCCCAGGCATGGATTAAATAAAATATATATATTACTAACTTACCTGTTACAAGTCCAAGTACCAGCCTCAAAGTTTTACTGCTATGCTTTGGCTCTGCAGATGAAGCTATTATTGAAGAAAGTTTAGTAAACAATGAAGTAATGAAGTTTTAGACTAACATTAGAACATAAAATTACGACAGTCTGATCTAATTGCCAATTTG